AGCGATAGGACACAATGTTTCCATAGTGCTGCTCAAAGGCCAACTCGACTGGGTTTTGAGGGTCATTGAGATTGAAAAGCATCAGTATTTTCTTGTCCATGGACACACTCACCTGAAGATTCAGTGATCACAACATTGTACACAGTTATGTCAAAGTCACATGTAAATATTAAATCTGAGCTCTTGATATTGTAAAGCTTTTTAAAAACATATTGGGCCTCATGCAAGAACATGTTCGTATTCTTATCCTAAAATCTCTTACTTTTGTTCGTATGAAGAGTTTGTACGAACATGTCACATCAGATTCAACAAACTCTTCAGGAGAAGTGTGTAAATGAGGAGCGTAAACTGATGAATGTATCAGGTGCTCGTGCACGGGAGAGGAGATTAGCATAATTACCACCCCAAAAACACCATATAAGGCTATGTTTCCTGCCCCACATACCAGGAAGTGTCCATTCATAAACGACATCGCAAAGTAAAAAAGAAGAATAACTTTACGAGTTCAGAGATTGAAGTCCTGCTGTTAGAGATCCAGAATTTTTTTTTGTCATTTTTAGCAGCGTCAGCTGTGGAATTAAAGGAACTGCTAAAGCCAAGGAATGAAATGTGCTATTAATGTCGTGTCTCCTGTGGGTCGTATACAGTCACAGAAATGAAAATCTAAATCATATTCATCTCTCTCTAGGTCTCCTTTGGTCAAATATTTTTAATCTAAATGTAAACAACTGTGTTACATAGTTTTGATTTATTCAGAAGAAGAGCAGTTGCGCACCGCTACCCCAAAAAATGAAATACAAATATATATAAATATGAAATATAAAGTTATTAATGAAGAAAATCAGTCTGGATAACAGCAAACTGACTGCATGTAAAAGATATGACAGGTCTGGACCGTTCGTCAATTTTGTTCATATCTGAAAAGTCTTAAAATACGAGAAAATTGGTGAATGCCACAAATTCTCCTAAATCACTCGTACGCACAACTTAAGAACAAATCTGTGCGTACGAACGGTTCTTGCATGAGCCTGCTTACATCTAAGTACCTCCTATAAATAAATATGTATACAAATTTTATGTAGGTTTCAAACTTTACCTCTCAAAGCTCRACATGTTATGGATAATTTGTGTCTACAAGAATCCATCAGATCCAAATAATAATAAAAAGTGCCAAAATTAAAAATATATGAGTGAAATCTAAAAAATAATTGACAGTAATGAAATAAACAAAAAAGTATAAGATTGAAGTTTAATTTTGAGATTAAAGAAACCACCAAGAGTGTATTATATGGAGGTGAAAGTGTTTTTTGTGGGAAAATGCATTTTAGAAAAAATTCTGTAAGTATTAATATTATTTTTCATTACAACTAATCTCCAACATTTGCCACAGTAAACCATAGATCATCCTATATTTTAGAAAATGTTACTCATAATGTCACGCAGGAAAAACTTACWGTGCCCTCCCCTTGAGAGGACCTTTCATCTGTCTTCATCACAGAAAAGTAAATTTCTGTAGGTTCACCTCTAAGAGCTCTCTGAAAAAAAAAAAACAGAAGGATGAACAAGATGTTCATTTTCAGCTCTTTTCCTGTCTTCCAGTCATAATGCAACAWTAATGCACCTTCTGACATTTCATGAACACGTTAACACAGTTGTCTTGAAAGATCTTGTGTTAAGTGTGCTCTTATACACAAACACACACACACACTCACACAGAGAGAGTTTTAGTTTGCTTACCTGTCTGATTGTGTCTCCCTCGTGGTTGCTAATGCTAAGAGTGTTGTCATCACTTCCCAGAGCCAGTAGATTCTGAGAACTCCAGCAGCCACAGGTGATTTTCTTGGTGTGTTTACCTAAAGCAGTGAATAAGAGGAAATGAAGTGTAAAAAAGATATTAAAATAAAGCATAACAAYCACTAACAGACCATCAAAGATGTTTATTTGGTGTGTGTATTACCCAGTACAGGGATCTTGCGTGAGGTCTGCCGATTGTAAATCAGCAGGTTTCCTTTCGCCGTTCCAACKGCCAACAGGGGCCCAGTTTTAGACCACAAGATGAAGGTCATCTGATCTTTGCTGAAACAAACAACAGCAATTAATCTAGAGTACAAAAATTATCAACACAAAGTCACTATCAGTGAATCTGTGACATCGTTTACTCGTTGCTAACCCTCTCACTTCCTTCTAGCATGCTTGTCGTACCTCATGCCGCTGTCTATCTGTGATGTTTTATCGACGCTGGCATCCCACAGGTAGATGGAGCTGGACTTTGCTGCTATCACAGCCAAAATGTCGCCATCCTTATCCCAATCCATTCCAAGYCAGCGGCTAAAGAGTGCGAGAATAGGAAATGAACAAAATGTGAAAAATTTGGGAAACTTTGACGAGGACCAAAGTAAGGTTCTAAAGATCTTCTCACACTTACCCTGGAAGGTTGAGTTCAGTCCTTTTCTGTCCATGCCGGTCAAATATTTTCACCGTGTTGTCCTGTCTGTACGATATGAAACCCAGTTCAAGTTTAGAATTATCATTGTGATGTTAATCTTGCATTAAGAGACATATCCTCACATTTATTTAAAGAACCTGGGCTTTAACCCAACAGATACTCACCCAGCAACAGCAATGTAATTTCCCAGGCTTTTCTGCCATTTATACAGAAGGCARGAACCCGCCCAGGCTTTGTCAGCAAGGGTAAAAACACTCTGTGGAAATAAAGACAGCTTTCAGGTTTTCTTCTTTTAAAACTTGTGTAAAACACATTTATACTCCCTGGCTTTTGGCACAGCCTAAGACTTGTTTTTAGTTTTACTCCTATTTCATTCTTTTTAATCTTTGTTTTGTGTTTTTCATGTTTTGATTTTATTTGTACAGCACTTGGCTGCAGCTGTGGTTGTTTTAACGTGCTTTATAAATAAATTAGTAGTAGTTTAGCCACTGTTCAGCATATGATTTTATATATCAAACTGGGATGTCATCTCACAGCTAAAGTTTGGCCAAATCTGGTTCATGCAATGAAACAATAATCCCAAACATGTAAACAGCTGAAGAGAAGAATCAAGYTGTGTCCCATTTAAAACAGAACTGTGCATAAATAATCCCACCTACATGAAAAAAATAAGCTACATAACTTCCTCCACAACTATAAGACAAATGGATAAGACACATTGTTGCAGCTCACAGAGCTTCTAACTATTAAATCCCAGGATGTATTACTGCTTTTGCATMTTGGTTAAGTTTTGTGTTAAATAAATGACAACGAGCTGCTTATCTGAGGAGCCATTTACCATGTTTTAGGACCCGATAGGGCTAAATAATAATAATTACTATGAATATTACGCCCTCAGATGCAAACTTAATTGTTTACCATAACTATAAGGCTTAAAAACTAGTTAAAACTGTGACATTACAACCAGGAAGACTGCTAACAACAGTGACACATTAGGTCCTTGACATTAAGTCTATTATTTAGTTATAGAGRAGAAGAAAAATGAAAACAGCTAAAGACAAGTAAACATCCAGAATGTTAGCTAAAATAACTAATCAGAGCACGAGAGGCTYCGCGCTAAAACTCGTTAAACTTATTACGTCATCAAACTCAAGRTAAAACGCATAAAATCACAAAGATAATGCGCTTTATTAGTGCTTCTTTGGGTACTAACCTTCATTTTGATGTCSTTTGTTCAAATAAAGGACGCAATTCTTCTCAAAACAAACACCTTCGACATAAGCGCTGTTTTTTTCCCACAATGCCTTTCTCRGAAGCTGCTGCGCCGCCGATGTCATGGCAACTGAAAGTAGCCAATGAGGTGCCGACACTGCATTGCCATGGGAACACTTCCTACTTCGGATTAAACAAGTTTTTTTTTCTTAGAAAAGCACTGATCATTGTTTCTGTTTTTCTAACACTTTGTGATGAGAGATAAACTTAARAAATTCGTGTCTATTAAAAAAACAGCAAAGTGAGAAACTATAAAAAGTGAACCGTCATAAACTTTTACCTGCTTTTTTTTTATTTATTGTTGTGACATTCATGTGATAAGTCACGTCTTAACTATGAAAGACTGCTCAATCAATACTCTATGTCAGAGTGAATTAGTGTGTCAACAAAACGTCAGAAATCAGTAAAGCTGGTTAGTCGTTTCAAACATTTGCAACATCAACTTTTTTAATCTTTTAATCTCTCCTAAAACGACAAATTGTAGGAAAWTTTTCTAAAAAGCCATGAATCAGTTTCATCATCTCACACAACCCCACTGTTCCTAATTATCATGACCTGTATTGTGCACAGATCCAAAATATAACTACTGGTTATCCTAATTACAGTCGTATTGTTGTCACAGAGCTTACAGGTGAAAGGTGATCCCAGAGGTTCTTGTTTTGATGCTGCAGCTGTTAGAACATGTGTAGAACATGTGTAAACTGCACAAACAGGCCTGCTGTGGAGCTGTACATCTGTAAARACAAAACAGRAATTTGTTTTCAACAAACCAACCTGTCTGGAAATCACGTGCCAGAACATAAATAATTAATTTGAAATATACAAGTCAAATAATATTAGAGTTGAAGACGCTTTGTTTCTCATCAAAAGGGTTTTTTATTAATAAACTGGAGTTCTACGGTGCTCTGTAGAGTAAACTCACCCCTCTCACAGTGGAGTCTTAGGATTACAGATGTTTTGGTCACATTGTGGGTTCAGAAATCTGAGACATCCTCCTCTGTTTGTCAATTTTATTCCCCWCTCAAACCATCTGCTGTCTTCTTTTATCAGTAACTTGTGCACTTTTGTACAGTAACAGCAAGTTAACTTTTGGCCACACGAGGGCAGCAGTGAGCACATCGTGGTGACTTGGGGAGTCTGACAAACTGTAACAAAACTCATCCTTCATCTCCAGCTTTAATCCCAAATTATGGCCTCCTCTATATTTAACAGGAAACCGATATTTGTTGCAAAAAAATAATATAATAATAATAAAAAAGGAGACYTCAGAGAAGAAACAATCTAAAATGAGCCAAAAATTATTTTAATTATCTGTTTTCTTTTCTTACAAAACCTTTTTCAGGGCGCGTTCCAGGTGAAGCGTTTGAACAGGGAACAAACAGCGGCCGCTTCAGAGATATTACACAAATATCACAGAACGTTTGGAGGACCAGAGTGCAGAGTTCCCTCCCGCAGAGCCAGAAGCCGGACACACAGCTGCAGGTATGGGTCTGCATGAACATAAAGCTTTGACTGATCTGGAAACCCTCCAGGCTCAGAGTGGAGTCAGACAAACTGAAACGGAGGAAATAAAACATTTCCCATGCTCACATTCTGTTTAAATACTGAGTCGCACCGAATTCTGCGACAGCTTCAATACATTAYCTAACATTTTTGTGTGTTTTTTTCTTTTGTTTACTAAATAAGATCCAAAAACTTTATCTGTAGTTGATAAAAAACTCTAAAGCTCCTCCTGTCTTGTATTGAGTGTATTGTAGATAAACTACGTTTGTTATTCTTTGCTGCTGCTCTGAGAACCCCCCCTCATTTTCAGAATCTCTTTCTGGAAGGGCGTGGCGTGTGTTGAGGTGTGTGAAGGTCGAAAGCMTCCGGTTTTGTGGAGGAGGGGCCGGGTCAGTAGTCGTCTCCTCGGCTCACCACCTCCTTGCAGGTGGGCCTGAGCAGGATGGTGTGCTCGAACTGAGCGGTGTAGCAGCCTTTGGTGTCGCAGAGCGGGGGGTAGGGGTCCACGATGCCCAGGTCGCACAGGTTCTTCAGGGCCATCAGGTACTTGCTCTCGCCGAGGCGGTCCAGCCAGCGGCGGCAGAACGCCAGCGTGCCGAAGTTCTCGTTGATGACGTTCAGCAGGTGCTTCGCTCGGGGCAGCCTGGAGGGACGAGGTTTGTACATTTCATCGCTGACTGGAGGAAAAGCTCTGCGGTCGCGCAGGGCGGGGCCGGTCTCACCTGATGGGGACGTGGCCCACGTCGAAGTTCTTCATGTAGTGAGAGCACTCCATGTCGTCGTGGACCACGCCTTTGCCTGTGCTGCCGAACGTCTCGATGGCGTAAACCTCCCCCTCCTGAAGGGAACCAGCATCAGCAGGGAGGTGTGTAAACAAACAAGATTAGAACTGAAACAAGCTGAAACTACACAGGACGTTAAATCACCTCCATTTTTGTTGCTTCCCCTCCTTTCACGATGGGCACCGTCTTCCCAGCGTGTATCCGGTACTGACCGATGGAGTGACCGTTCAGGTTTCGGATTGGCTTCACTGGAACAAAAAACAGTTTATGATAAAACAGTAAAGAGCTGGGAGAATTATTACTGTAAAACATTGTCGTCACCCATCAAATTTATTATTTTATTAATTGAAAATATTGAAGTTCTTTAATTTGGTTGATTATAATATTCTACTGGTTATGTATAAGGT